GAATTAGTCAAGGTGCGCGCAAGCTAACCCGAACATCCACGGTTATAAAAAAAAAAGAAAAAGGTGTAACTCTCAGTGTATTGTGGATTCGTTGAGCTTCTTATTAAAACTTTGGACTTTACACTCTGTAAACATATACTATAGGTCGTGCTTCTTTACATTAAAGAGGGCGAGAAAGATTTCCCTTTTCATTTTTTTCTTGTTGGGGTTGGTGGGTTGTTTCAAGTGACCACTGGTTGCCATCTTCAATGTCAACCTTGTTTTCTTGTAGCAGTTGACTTTTTAATTCTGTCTTTGAAAGTAGTATCCTTTTTTTTTTAGGTAGTACTCAGCACAGTGCAGCATTACAATCAGTTTTATGAGACTTAACTTTGTTACATAAGAAAAAAGTTTATTGTTTGATGTGATTATAGAAAGGTCTTGGTTTTCTCTTTAGGATTTTACATGTCAGTTATGGAATTTTGAGAACTTGGTTGCAGTCTTTCTTTAGATGCATGGCTTCTTTATACTTGCATGGAAACACTTTGAACCTTGATTCTAAAAAAAATTCTATTTCAGTTTATCAAAAATTCTCTCTCTCTCTCTCTCTCTCTCTCTTCGCCTTCAATTCTGGTTTCATATATTCATTCTCTGGTTATAATATCATGACAATTTCTCGAAATTTAGCAATGGCGTCTGATATGGGATCGTGCAATATTGTATACTTTGCATTTTGTTCGATCCCAACAAGTTCTATATATTTGGCAGTAGTTGTCACTGGCTGCTAACCTCCAGGAGCTCACACACAAAATGACAATTTATTATCCTGCAAGTAGGAGGGAAAAGCTTGTTTTTCTCCACCCTCTGAACCGTCACGTCGTTTAATTGATTTGGTGAGTATGCACGTCGCTTTGGTGCTTCTTTGTTTTTCCTATCTTAGTTCATTTGCATTTGTGTTCTTGGTTTCTACCATTATTTGCATGTTCTTTAGTACATACCTTTATAGAGGGAATCCAAATTGCATTGGCTTTATGTAATAATACCTTAAAACTCCCCTTTTCCTTTTGCAAATATAATGAGCTCTATAACTCTTTGAGTTATGAAGGTTTGATTTAAATTCCTAGTCGAATTAGATTCTGTTGGCAAAGTTATAAATGGTAATAGGAATAGTACTGGGTTCCACAAAATTTGTGGATAATAGTGATCGATGTTTATGAATGTGTGGTTGAAATTAATGTTCGACTTGGACTGAATTTATAAACCAAATTGTTAGTTGTATCCAAATGGAATCATTTTTGAGTTGCATGTCAAGGTGTCAATTGCATAGTTGATAACAATAAAGAAGACTTTAGCATGTGTTTTCTCATATAATATAGTACACTCTATCAAGCAAGGCATAAGAAACGTTGAAGTTAAAGAAATGAGAACATACATTTTCTCGACAAAAATATATGGTCGAACAACTTTCTTCGGTTCATTTCAATTGAGCTTACTTCAATTAATTGATCATTGTAGTTTTGTCCTTTAGATTATTTTTGTAGATGGACGAGAGTTAATGCACTAGAGTAATACTCCCTCCGTCCCATGTATATAGGCTTGTTTCATTTTTCACACGGATTAATAAATTTTATTTAATGTTATTGAAAAAACAATTGTTATCAATAACTTTTCAAGTTTATCCCTATTTA